TACACGACCTCGCAAGAAAGTACCAAAACGGTATATTGTCAGATTCCGCCATTGTTAACATGGATGACAAGTCTTTGTTCACAATGCTAACAATGGTGAATGGAATTGGGTCATGGTCGGTTCATATGTTCATGATAAACTCACTTCATAGACCCGATGTGTTACCCGTTAACGATCTTGGCGCTAGGAAGGGTGTGCAGATTCTGTATAACTTGGAGGAGCTGCCAAGGCCATCTCAAATGGAGCAGCTCTGCGAGAAATGGCGGCCGTATAGGTCGGTGGCATCGTGGTACATGTGGCGACTCATCGAAGCTAAGGGCACGCCTTCGAGTGCCTCTGCAGTGACTGCTGGGCCTGCTCTGGCACTGCCGCCATTGGAAGACATTCAACATGATCCGCAGCAGCAACAGCAACAGCAGACGCAGCTTCTGGACCCTCTTAATAGCGTGTTCAACATCGGGTATAAGCCGGTTTCTTTCTGATACCTTGTTGTAGTGTTAGTTGTGTGAAACTTGTTCTTTTCTTTTACCTGCCTAAAACCGATAGAGGTGGTATGCAATGGGGAATTTGTGCTCAAGTTGTAGTGTTTGCTGCTAATGATGTGGTCGGGTCATGTTTCCGTGAGTTAAATCTTTGCGCTTTAACACATTTTATGGCATTAACCGAGGTAACATCGAGAGACTCTTATGGTCGGGATATGACCGTCCTCCGAAAGTAGAGGAACGTTGATTTTAGATATTAAAAGAAGTGATGGCAAGGTACATCACGGTACTTAGAATAGTTTAGATATGGCTTAATGTGAAAGATCCCTTGAAAGGACCTTCGGTTATATCAAGCCACTATCTTTGATAACACAGAGAGATATTTGGGTTCGAGTCTTCATTATCTGCCTGATGTTCGGTTCAGGGCCCTAATCCTATTGGCATTATCATCTCCATAACTCTCTCTCTCTCTCTCTCGTAACAGGCATTGCTCGTGGGGGCAAACGTAGCGGGGGGTCGGCAGCAAAAGCCGTAGGCCAGTGTCTCACTCTCTATTTACCTGAACTGTTACCGGAAACCGTCACGGCCCAAGCCAGTTCCGACCTCAGTCCTCAGCTTTCGTCTTGCAAAAATATCAGCATTCCCCCGGGCGAGAACACTTGCGTAGAAGGAACTACTGCTTCAACCCGCAAAACCTAATGGTCTTGGATATGTGATGTGATGTGTTTTTTGTTTCAAAAGTAGTTTAAGTTAGTGACTCCGTCTCTAAGAACCCCCAAACGTGTGATATGTTCCTTGTCGAAAGACTACTTCTCTCTGTGTTTGGAGACATAACTGCGTCTAAAAAGCCCTTTGACAGCTTCCCCCTACAGGTCGGCGGGAACAGAGAACCATCTATGTTCATTAATTGCTCTGTTTTCATATCCGGATATGATTTGGTTCGGTTAGAACCGGTTCAAAACTAAATTCCCAAAACGAAAAACGCCTAAATGAATCCAGGTAGAGCATGAAACTTGAACATAGAGAATTAGAAAATGGATTGAAATCAGCTCTTCTGACAGAAACATCTACTGGACAAAGCCGAAGAAAACTACTGTCATATCTAAACCCTTTAAAACAGCTCTGTCAAGACATCTCTGAAGGTTATTATTACATTACATCTACAGAAATGGATCCCTAACCAGAATCAAAGCCATATTATATATATATATATATCAGTAGTTGAGTAGGCCGTACGCGCGTTTGGCAGCGTCCAAAGTATTGGAAAGAAGCATGGCAATGGTCATGGGTCCAACTCCTCCGGGCACAGGGGTAATGGCCGAAGCCACCCCTAATGCTTCCTCATAACACACATCTCCCACCAGCCGGTATCCATGCTCACTCCTCCTGTCCTGCATTACATATATATACATATATCATTTCACTTCATGTTACTTTCGTACCTAATATACACTTTCATTTCTGTATAATCACCCATTCCCTTTCTGTAATCAATACAATAAAATGTTTGGTATCTTTTATTTTCAGGAAACAGTTTTTTTTTCTTTGTGTGTGTACTAGACCAGTTCAGGAAAACATTGAAACAGCTTCATTTTATCATCATTGTCAGTTTTTTTATACCTCAACCGGGACTGTCCCGACATCGATGACGACTGCTCCGGGCTTCAGCCAACTGCCGCGGACCAGATTAGGCACACCTGCGGCTGCAACCACGATATCAGCCTCCCGGGTGATGTGCTCTGGTCTCTTTGTGAAAGCATGCACTGTGGTCACTGTTGCGTAATACCTCTACCCAAGAATGTCCGCAAAATCCAAAACCAAATGTACACTTAACCTCTAAATCGAACCTCTCAGGGAATAAAACGCAGACTAAACACTAAAACAAGTACCTGCAATAACAAGGAAGTGGGCAACCCTACGATGTTGCTTCTACCGATCACCACAGCATTCTTGCCCATGATCTCCACGCCAGATCTTAGCAACAACTCGACACAGCCTTTCGGAGTGCATGATATGAACAATGGCTCCCTCTCTCTCATTGCGAGATGTCCCATGTTTAATGGATGAAACCCGTCCACGTCTTTCTCTAACCTCACCATACTCAAGATCTTAGCTTCATCAAGATGCTGCATCAGATGTAAGTGGGTCAGATAAAACACAAAAAGCAACACCACCACAAAACGCTTTACTACAAAATGTTCCTTAGGCAAAACAAAATTAATCAAATGCTCTTATTACAAAGCAGATGCTCCCTAGCCAACAACAAGGTAAGTGCTTATACAGGAAGTATTTGGCACCCAACATGAAGAAATTCAATATTCCATATGAGACTGGTTGAACAAACCTGAACACGAGAAAATTTAAGAGAGAACACTTCATTTGCAAATTGCAAGAGCCACAACAAGCATGAGGGCAAGATCGGACATTTAAAAACTCAATGACGAAAGAAACAAGCTTTAGCAGTTCCCTAAGATTGAATAAGGATATGCATGAAAACTATGCTTTCCCAGGAGGCGCTGGGGACGAAGCTCAAGATGAGTACGGTATATCATCCTCAGATAGACGGTCAGTCGGAGCGGACTATACAGACTTTGGAGGACATGCTCAGAGCTTGTATTCTGGAGTGGGGAGCTCCGTGGGACCAGTACATGACGTTGTGCGAGTTTGCGTACAACAGTCATCACACGAGTATCAGAGTATCTCCATACGAAGCCTTGTACGGGCGACCGTGCAAGACACCGTTATGCTGGACGGAGATCGGCGAGCGCCGAGAGTTTGCACAAAACCAACATACCGGGGGCAAAGGAAGCTGCACGAGCAGACCATGCACGGAAGGGTCTTCATTGAACTGAGACAATACACGAATAGCTTGTTCTTCAGTACAGTCCTCAGGCAGTTCAGCCATGGCAGATCTAATCCCAGCTTCTTCACAAGCTTTGATTTTGTTCCTAACATACGTCTGCGAGTCTCTTCTCTGACCGACCAACACCACCGCGAGACCGGGAACTTTACCGATGGACTTGTTCATCTCCCGAACTTCACTAGCAATTCTCGTCCTGATTTCTTCGGCAATGGATTTCCCGTCTATTACAGTGGTCTTCTGCTCACTCGCTACACAACCCAGAAAAAAAAAATTAAAACTTGAAAAGGAAGTGTAATTGCAAAAATAAAAAATAAAAAAAGAAAGAGGAGGAGAATGGTAGGAAGAAGAAAAGCTCACAGAAGAGAGGAGGAGACGGAGGATGAGAGAAAGGAACCCAATCGTCGGACAAGTCGAGGGACACAAGAGATGGAGACATTATGATTGGATTCAGGGAATGAACTTCCCTTTTCGACAAACGAATTACCTTTTGTCCTAAATCGGCCCTCCTCGCGATCATCGCCATCGCTTGAACCCTACCCAGATGTTACGCAGTCAATGACTCAAATCTATATGAAAACCCTAATTTGAAAGACTAGAAAAAAACACCAAAGGAGACAGATTTGTAGCACCCTATGGGCTAATATGAAGCTTGACGAAGCATTTCTCACTTTTGGCTCTATCAAATTCTGGTTCGGTTATTTTCCGTTTGTAGAAAAATGAATCAAAAGAAAACCGGACAATATTCAATTGGGATGAGAGACTATTTGTTTATTTCAGAGTTTTGGCAAACTGAATTGGAAAAAAATATCAATCAAAGATTAGATTCCCAGAGGCAAATGGATGATAAAAGATCATTCAATAACGAAATATCAAGAAACCTTTCGGTTTTTCTTTGTAGCTTACAAGTCAGGAATACAACCAATGCGTAAAGAAAGAAGAGAACGTTATGCAAACCAAACGTCAAAAATCACCGAGACGATGATTGACAAAACAAGCAAATCCCCAAGAGAGAGAACTCGAATTCGGTGTATAAAGAGCGCATCTTTAGAACTGAGACTTGTCAAGGCTGTCGAAATAAGGGTGGTCGAGTGCCGATTTGGCCGAAATTCTCTCGGCTGGATCATACTTGAGCATTTGCTGCATTTGTCCACACAGATTGCAGTGGCATAAGTAATCCTCAACTCAAAGAGGATGAGAAACTTGAGAGATTAGATACGGAGTTCAAGTATTAAAGTACAGAAAATGCTCAATTTAGTTACCGAGAGAAGATCAACTCCTTCAGGAGAGAGTGATGGAACAGAACGTGCTAAGTTTTGTGGTTCCCACTTTGGATAGACATGCCAGTCACGCAGAGAAGTAACCCCCGGCCATTGGTGTTCTGTCGGTGTTCCCAGCAATCTCCACAACCCAAAACGAACCATCCATGTGTGAGAATATTGTACGCAACATGAAGGGTTAATCAAATGGCTAACCTATAAATCACAGGGTGAACCAACAAAATCTACCCAATGAAGTCATTTGTAAACGAACATAGCTGGGCATCACGAGTATCAAACCAAAGCCCGAAGAAATTCGAATGAAACCAAGAGAATTAGAGATATTCTAAGAGAATATACCTGAAAATATGAAGCAGTTGCTGAAACTCAGAATCACCTGGGAAGAGGGCTTGCCTCCTAACCATCTCGGCTGCAATTTTTTGAGAATGGATGGAACCTCGTTATCGGAGAAATTAGCGCAGAAACGCACACAAATGTGTAAAAGCAGAATAGAACAGAAAAAGGAAAAAGGAACTGACCGAAGATGCAACCGACAGACCAAATATCAACACCGGTGGAGTAATGAGTGGATCCAAGGAGAACTTCAGGAGCCCTGTACCAGAGGGTGACGATTTCGTGGGTGTAGGATTTGAGAGGGACGGTGAAAGCACGGCCAAGACCCAGATCGGCGATCTTAAGGATGCCTTTATCCTTGTCGAGAAGAAGATTCTGGGGTTTAAGGTCACGGTGGAGGACGCCATGGCTGTGGCAGTGGGCAACGCCCTTGCAGAGCTGAAACATAAACCTCTGAATGAGGGAAGGGTCAAGGGGTCTGGGGTTTTGACCCTTCCGGTGCGAATCAATGAACTTCTTAAGATCGGTGTCAAGATACTCGAAGACGAGGTAGAGATTGGATTTGGGAGAGGGAGAAACGGCTGGGGAAGGGGAAATGGAGTCGGTGGATTGGAGAACATGTTCGACGCAGAGGAGGCGAACGACATAGAGAGAGTGGGAGAGCATCTGGAGAAGGGAAATCTCACGAAGAGCAGTAGGAGGAATACCTTCTTCGTCCATCTCGAGTCTCGTCTTCTTCAGGGCAACAAGCTTCCCACTCGCCTTCTCCATGGCTTTGTATACCTTCCCGTACGTTCCTTCGCCAACCTTCTCGAGCTTCTCGTACTTGTCCATCGGGAGATCTTGCTGCTGAGATCGAAGACGATGATCCGTGATTTCGGATTTTGGACCTCTTCTCTCTCTCAAACCCTAAGCCCCTTTCGATTTGAATTTGATGAATGATGATGATATCTGCGATGAGAGAGAGAGAGCGCCTCTTGGCTTTTAACGTTCAATAACACGTCCCGCTCCCCTCCATTTTGAATTCCTCCCCCTCCCGATTATTATTATTTTTTTGTGTTGTGTGACCAATTTTAATAAGCTTAGGTAAAAAACTCTAAAAATTTCAAAATTTATAGTTTGGAGTAATATTAATTTCTAAATTTGTAGAGGTGTCTATTAATTCTCAAACTTGCAAAATTGAACACGTTAAATCCTGAACTTGTTAAACTGTTCCATAATCGTCCACAACACTATTTGGTCAAACAAATGAGTTGATCGATCCGACGTGGCGCGTGATGTGGTGGTAATTTTCTGAATTGACTCGCCACGTCACGCGCCACGTCGGATTGGTCAATTCATTTTTTTGATCAAATAACGCTATGGACGATTATGCAACCGTTTAACAAGTTTAGGATTTAACGTGTTCAATTTTGCAAGTTTAGGAATTAATAGGCACCTCTATAAGTTTAGGAATTAATATTACTCCAAACTATAAGTTCCGAAATTTTTAGGGTTTTTTCTCTAAAAAAATAAAAAGGTAAGATAACGAATTACAAGAAGAGGAATAACTTGCTATTGTGAACTGTCAAACCATGACATAGCCTGAATCATGTAAAAATACACACATAAATATATATATAACGACTTTAGTTATATAATTTTAGGCTCAGATTTTAAAATCTTTTACAATAATTCCGAAATAGAAGAAACACAAACTTTTTTGAAGTTATAAAAAATATGCAATATCACACCAGTATATTTTGTTATAGAAAAAATAATCTAACAGTGGTAGTTTTTCTATCAAATATTCAAAATCTAAATTTATTATGAATTGTTTTAGAAAAAATATATTAAAAAGGATATTTGAAAAAATATATTTAATTTAAAAATATCATTTTTAATATAATTTTTTCTAAAACCATTTATAATCAAATTAAAAATTAAAAGATTCTCATGCTTTATTCACAAAAACTCTAAAAATTTCTAAACTTTTTAGAGTAATATTTATTCCTAAACTTGTAGAGGTGCCTATTAATTCCCAAACTTGTAAAATTGAACACGTTAAATCCTAAACTTGTTAAACGGTTCCATAATTATCCATAGATTATTTGGTAAAAAAAAACGAGTTAACCGATCCGACGTGGCACGTGACGTGGCGAGCCAACTCAAAAAATTACCGTCACGTCACGCGCCACGTCAGATCGGTCAACTCATTTTTTTGACCAAATAGTGCTATGTACGATTATGGAACCATTTAACAAGTTTAGGATTTAATGTGTTCAATTTTGCAAGTTTGAGAATTAATGGGCACCTCTACAAGTTTAGGAATTAATATTACTCCAAATTATAAGTTTATGAATTTTTAGGGTTTTTTTCCATAAGCTTATGATATATATATATACCATTTCATTGTAAAACATAATAAAGTACTTTTTTTAAAATGTAGTAAATAATGATTGATTAAATTAAATTAAATGCATAGAAGGAATTATGAAGGCGCTTTCATCTTGGAAGAGAGCTTTTCAAAGGCGCTTTCATCCCTTGGAGCTTTGCACCGATTAATCGATTTATTGTGATGTTACTACAAACCGATAACATGACCCTTTCCACATACACTTATTTGTACACTTTTTTTTAAAAGAAATAAAAAAAGTTAAATATTATATAAATATACAAAATCAAAATGTAAAATCTTATATAAACATATAAATTTATTAACAAGTGCACAATTTTTAATTTTTTAAATAAAAAATAAATGATTCCAACGTAAAACCTTAAATTTTACCAGAAATTCCAAAAACAAAACACACAAAAAAAGGTCAGTGTATTTTTTTAAAAATTTAAAGTTTGCATATTAATTCAAGAGTTATAATAAATTCATGAATTTGTAGGAGATTTTACTAAATTAAAATAAATTGAGATGCCATCTTGAGAACCAAAATTCTGGTCGCGGAAAATGGACAGGAGTGAATACGTAAGGCCCAAAGTGCAGCCGCCGTCGGATTGGGCTTAGCTCTCTATGGGCCGTTTGGGTTATAATATAATGTCCTTCTATCATATGATGGGCTTTTTATTAAAAATAATGGACCTTCTTGTTTTTCTTGTTTTTTTTTAAATCTTAAAATCATGAATGCCAATTCTGCATTTTATTAAATCTTAAAACTTGATAGCTTTTTTTTTTTTTTGGGGGGGGGGGGGGTATTATTATTTATGAAAGATTTTTATACTTTTGATGGATCTTCCAAAATTTATCATTTATAAATATATCCCTTTAAATCTTCTAGACAGATTTTACATGGGTATGTTACAATTTCTTCTACCGAATAATAATAATATTCAAAATGTAAAAAAAAAAATGATTAGCTTGTTTATTGGGAATTGTATAGGTTGATAGCTTTTATTTTGAGTTTTTTTTTTTAATTTTAGTTTATGATTTTTGTATTTTAACTTTTGTTTTTAAGCTTTTCCTTTGTAAAATATTTGTAAATTTTAAAAATAATTTGTTAGTTTTTAATTGATTTTTTCATTCCGAATTTTTAGAAAGCTTATAACTATAAAATTTTAATCATCAATTTTTAGTTTTTAAAATTTAAAAACTCTGAAAATTCTATCTATTCAATCCCATAATAAATTTGAAGAGCAAATCATCAAGGAACAAAAACAATTTGTAATTTTTTTTTTGTATAAATAACCTGAAGACGTACAGTTTTTTATATGGAATGGAGAAGATATTATCGCCCGTGCATGAAAGGAAACAAAAGGGGGACAGGAGGGGGGGAGTCACGTGCAATCTTGTGACTCGCAAGGGCAATATCGACATTTCGCCGAGGACTTATCAGAAAAGGCAATCAGCTTTCCAATTCCAAATCTTGAGGCCCGTGGCCGCTGTATATACTTCTTTCCATTTGTAATATATATATATATATATATATATATATATAATAAGCGTAAGAGAGAAAAATAAAATAAAATAAAAAGTACAGTGGTAAAAAAAGCGTGGTTAATTTCCATAGGGTCCGCTGCCATGCAAAACCCTAAAGAAATGGTGTCAGTTCCATACAAGTCAAGAAACTTTTGATTTGAAATTTTTATTGGGCCCCAAAAAAAAAACAAAATTAAAAATATTCGTGAAATGGGAGAAAGGAGAGAGAGAAAGAGGACAAGCGGGAGAGATGAAAGCAAAATGTCAAACGAAAGTTTCGGGATTTTTATAGGGAAATGGGGTTTGACAGTTGGGTGATGGACTGACCACACACCAACATGTGCTATATCCATTTTTTTATTTAAATTTTATAAAACTTTTGCATGTAAAATACGGCAGTAAATGGTTTGTCCACTTGCAAACACCTAAATGCTAATATGAACGTATTTTAAAATATTTTTATTCGTTGCTTTGCGTTAGTTTTCTTACCAAAAAAGGGGGATTAGAACGGAGATTTTTGATAGGAAACAGACAAAAAGAGAGAGAGAGGAGAGAGAGAGAGAGAGAGAGAGACTAAATGGCGATTAGAAAACGTCAAACGCACCGCGACGACTTTCTCCTTCTCTCTCTCTCTCTCCCTGCGAGTTGTTTAATGGAGGGAAGAGATTTATGACATTTAATGTCTGAAACGACAATGGAGGTAGAGATCCAACCACAATAGTTCCGAGAGCTCGAGGACGCAGTGCAAAGCGCCATTTCCGTGGTTCCGTCCGACCGTCCATGGCGTCTGTACGCGTGCTTTGAGAGAATCATCTTCCATCCCGCTTCCTTCCAAACACGCCACTGTCGTCGGAGATCGTGCTTTTGATTCTCTGCCCTTTCTGTCTATTTAACCATGGAATCCCAGAGGGATCGGTCTCATCTTCCCCATGGCGGATTCCGGCAAGGCCACCGGCGGTGATCGTTGCGGCGGCGGAACTCAGAGTCAAGGTCCTCCTCCGAAGATGGTGAGAAAGCGAACGGCGTCGGAGATTAACGACTCCGACTACGACCACTCTTCCAGGCTTCACCGCCGGAATTCTCACCTCCTCGAGTCCGACACCAACACCAACACCAACACCAACATCATGTCTTCGGTTCCTCCTCTTCCTCAGCCGCCGCTGCCGCCGCAATTGTCGGTTTGCGGCTTTTCTCTGTGTCCATTGTTCCCTTCAGCGAATCCGATACAGGCGATGGATCAAGACGCGTGGATCGACGCAGTCATCAGAGGGCTTATCCACTCATCCACCACTGTCTCCATCCCTCAGCTCATCCAAAATGTCCGAGACATCATCTTCCCTTGTAACCCTAATCTTCCCTTCAGCGAATCCGATACAGGCGATGGATCAAGACGCGTGGATCGACGCAGTCATCAGAGGGCTTATCCACTCATCCACCACTGTCTCCATCCCTCAGCTCATCCAAAATGTCCGAGACATCATCTTCCCTTGTAACCCTAATCTCGGTGCCCTTCTCGAGTACAGGCTCCGCTCTCTCATCCTCCTCGATCCTCCCGACCCTCAGCCTTCCTCTTATCCCCTCCCTCTCCATCAAATCTCCGCCGATCCTTCCCCCTCTCGCCCTCCGCCTCCGCCGCAGGAGAAGCAAACAGCCGACGAACGGGAAAACTCTTCCTCCGATGCGGCGGAGACCGTGATCAGCACCGCTGGAGCAAGCACGACGGCGACAGCGGTTGTTGCGGCCATGAGAGAGAGGAAGGAAGAGATGAAGAGACAGAAGCAAGACGAGGAAGGGTTGCACCTCCTCACTTTGCTACTGCAGTGCGCGGAGGCCGTCTCCATTGACAACCTCGAGGAAGCCAACAAGCTCTTGCTTGAGATCTCACAGCTGTCCACCCCTTACGGCACCTCCGCTCAGAGAGTGGCCGCTTACTTCTCGGAAGCAATGTCGGCTCGGCTGGTCAACTCATGCCTCGGCATCTACGCGGCTTTGCCCTCTCGGTGGATCCCTCAGACTCACAGCCTGAAGATGGTTTCGGCCTTCCAGGTCTTCAATGGCATCAGCCCACTCGTAAAGTTCTCTCATTTCACGGCCAACCAGGCGATTCAAGAGGCTTTCGAGAGAGAGGAGAGTGTCCACATCATTGACCTGGACATCATGCAAGGTCTCCAATGGCCTGGTCTCTTCCACATCCTAGCTTCTCGCCCTGGAGGCCCTCCTCACGTCCGCCTCACTGGTCTCGGTACCTCCATGGAAGCTCTCCAAGCCACCGGGAAACGTCTCTCCGATTTCGCCGATAAGCTTGGCCTTCCCTTCGAGTTCTGCCCACTCGCCGAGAAAGCCGGCAACTTGGATCCGGACAGGCTCAATCTGAGCACCGGCAAGAGGGAAGCCATAGCTGTCCATTGGCTGCAGCATTCACTTTACGACGTCACTGGCTCTGATACCCACACGCTCTGGCTGCTCCAAAGGTATACATATACACACCACTCTATTCTCTCCCCCCACTTTCCATCGGTGTTTCTTTTCGTGATTGGATGGATGGATTGAACAGGTTGGAGCCGAAAGTGGTGACAATAGTGGAACAAGACCTGAGCCATGCAGGATCGTTCTTGGGAAGGTTTGTGGAGGCGATACACTACTACTCAGCCCTGTTCGATTCACTGGGGGCGAGCTACGGGGAGGAGAGCGAGGAGAGGAACGTGGTGGAACAGCAGCTGTTGTCGAGAGAGATACGCAACGTACTGGCGGTGGGAGGGCCGTCAAGGAATGGTGGCGGCGAGGTTAGGTTCGAGAGCTGGAGGGAGAAGCTGAAGCAGTGTGGGTTCTTCAAAGGGATATCGCTGTCGGGGAACGCAGCCACGCAGGCCACGCTTCTGCTGGGGATGTTCCCATCGGACGGTTACACTCTGGTTGACGACAATGGCTCCCTCAAGCTCGGCTGGAAGGACCTCTCCTTGCTCACTGCCTCCGCCTGGGCTCCTTTCCCTCACCCGTCTTGACCTTTCTCTCTCTCTTTTGTACCTTTTCTTCTCGTTTTCTGTGTAATGATGCTTTTTATCTGATAAGTTACTCCCTAGTCTGGTCGGCATTTGAGTAATGAAGAATCTGAGAGACACTACTTATCATCACTACACAGAGTCTTGGGGAGTACAGTGCGAAGAAATGTGTCCGATTAACAAAAAAAAAGAATACATGAGTAGCAATAATATTTCGAGACGAGAAAAAGGGTGTAAGATCTGAAGAAAGAATAAGGCATCTCAGGCGTCTATGTCCGAAGCCAACATATCATATACAAGACGGAATTGTCTTCAGCACCTCCTGTAAAATGACGAAATCTCCACATCATTCAGTTGTTCGTTTAGTCACTGACTCTGTCTGCCTCAGCTCTCTGATCCATCCCCCTTCTGCATTTTCCACAACGTGAACAAAATTTCGTATCCATTTTTATTTACCCAGAAAAAACATACCCACTTCTTCCAACTCAAGGTTCTCCCGGTACATATGACTTCTCGAGCATCACCCGAATTCGCGGGGTACCCTTGTTCAAGGATTCACGTTGCAATCAGTCAAGAATTGATCTTTGCGATTCAGAAACTTTTTCCAGTAGGGTTTGTATTTAGGGATCCCCAGCTCGAGCCACGGCTTCATGTTCCCGTTGTAATGCAAGATGGCTGCATCTTTTATGGCCTGGGCGCTGACACTGTGGTCATAACCAAGCCCGGATAGAGCCCATGTGTTATCCAGGGGATAAACTAGGTCCTGGAATGTGAGCAAGCTTGCCCGTAGTGAGATAGTTTCACTCGACTTGTCTCTGGCATTCATCTGCTGCACATGTATTGATAAACCATAAAGAAAGAATTTAAAGCTGTTATTTAACTTAACTAGAAAAGTAAAATTTACAACCTCGGATCATAATCTCATAGAGAATGTGTTTTGTATACTGACCTCTTTCACCAATCTCTGGTATGTTTCGGACACACCGAATTCTCTCCATTTACCGAGATCGATTATGTTCAATCCGGACATCCAAGGACAAGCATTGTCATCAAAACTGCCTCCCCCGATATGGCTCTTCAACTGGCCTAACCTCAAAGAGCATGTCCTGACAGCACCATTCACTTTCCCTTCCAAATCAAGGTCCCATAGGGGAGATAAATCTCGCTGGACAACAACATCGTCGTCCAGAACCACAACCTTCTCCAAGTTCGGGAATATCTTGGGAAGAAGATAGTGTGAATGCGAGAAAATGGTTAAGTAGTGTGTACTATGGCGGAAAGAAACACGGAACTCCACAGGCAAAGAGAGATGTAAATCGTGATTTTCCAAATCGAGTTTCTCAGTGTTTAATACTTGAACTGAAGCAACCTTGCAGGGATTCCTGAAGAACCATTCTTTCATCCCAAAGTAGTTCTGCTCATCTGTCAGCACATGAAAAACCAGATTTTTGCTATCCTGAAATATCAATAACCAGCCAAGGGTTAGAACCAGGAGCTACAACTGCATTGGAACACAAAAGAAAAACCCAAAAAGCATACCCTTGCATGTGAAACTGTTGAGTTGATCACAACAGATGATGCGAGTACATTGTTGGAGATTATAACATAGTGATACAACGATGGATCTGTAGATTTCTTAGCGATAGAAAGATCCACATCGGGTAAAGGGGACTTGAAATACTCCACGGTTAGTCTCATAGACAAACAATGAAGACTCTTGGGCATTGTCTGTACAGCGAGTTGGTAGAGAAACACACTCTGTTTCATGTGAAAACTAACCTCGTCATCAGTCAAATCGAGGATCTGTCTCAGTTTCTTGTCAACATTGTTGCAGTCGACTGGAAAAGATTTTGCCTTGGATATTACATCTTCCATCTTTTGCAACTTCTTGTCGATCCTGACAAAACAGTGGGAAGCGATACACATTTAGTACTATTTAAGGACATGGATAGCAATAAATCTTTACATAAAAAACTGCTTAAAAATACTATCAGCATCCACATCATCCCACAGAAAAGATAAATGCATCGTTTCTAATCATAGGCATGGCTCTTAACATCAACTCTGCAGTTTATTCATGTTTAGCGAAATTGGAACAGAAGTTTGAGGCCTTTGGTTGAAATTTTTATGGATGCTGCTTATTCAATATGTGGGGAAAACATTATTTAAGCAATAAGGCAATTCAAAATTGTTAACCTTCCTACAACACGAAACTCCTAAAACCAAATTACCCCAAGAGAAACAGGATGGCCAAGAAAGCTTGTTGGAAAATAGAAGTGACTCATCTGACTTGGAACTCGCTAAGGTAGGGAGTGTAATATTCACTAAGAACATGATGCTTGAACTCAGTTAAGTAGGAAACTTACTGTGGCGGAAGATCAGTATCAGCCGAACCTTCACTTAGAATACGCTCAAAGTCTTGAATATTTTGTTTCATATCACGAGTCAACTTGCTTTGTGATGGCATCTTAGCAATGCTGGGATAATATGCCCTAGCCACAAATAGTTGATCCTTCATTTTCTTCACATTAGTGTCTTTCATCGGTTCCTTGTTTTCTTCCCTCCAGAGGCAGTAGCTTCCGTACTTCACTTGACAAGCTTTCCCAGTTTCGTCGGCGTTCACCATTGTATGCTGAATTTCTTTAGTTGGGGCACCATCTATAGTCTTTTGTAAGCAGAACATGGGTGATATCAGCAGGTTTAGAACAAATAAAAAGAAAAAAATGAATCAAAACGGATTTATTGATCTGTTCATACGTTCGAGGTAGACACAGGGCTGGGCACAACATTTGACGGCACTGGTAATCCTGCAAATTATTAAAAAGAGGATAAGAATAAAAGCTACCACCTTAAACCGTATAAAAGTTAAGGAGAAACTAAGAGAGATGTATTTCAAGAAACTGAAGTTAGCAAGACCTCTTCTTGCATCTTCCTCAGTGCTGCTCTCATTTATATCTCCTAAACCCTTTATTTTCTCCACATCCTAACATGCAAAAAAAGGGGAAGAAAAAGTTAATACGACAAATGCAAATTTTGGACGTATAATACCCTATGAGACACCCGATTTCTATCTTGGATGAGTTAAATGAGACACATAAATCTACCCAATCCGTGAAAGGGTTATTTCCTAATTTCGTGAGTCACTCATCCAACATTTTCAACCATAGTCAGCACAATTATATGAGAGACGCCGCAGGAACTGTCAGGAATAGATTCTTTCTAAGATCGAACTTTCTGCTTACATTCTTTGATGGGCCATAAAATTCTTCATGTATTCCAGATTCTCTAAACTCTGGTTTCAAATGGGACAGTTTCACACGTCTCCACTAAACGAGCAGAATTACAAAAGGTTCTCCTTAATGTTAACATTTCAAATTTTTGCAAAAGAAAAAACAGCAGAACTAGTACACAATAGCATACATTACACTTCGGCAGATCAATCATTCGAGTATACCAGATTAAGAGTAGCAGAAGTGCACATCCAATGCACAGATGTTACTTCTACACTCACAACGAGAGAACAAAGCTCTCTCACCATTAAGGGAGAAATTTATACAAGATCCAGAAAAAGTGCCAAACATCCTAATGTGGGGCAGGAACATGACTAAGTTTGTGCTAAACACTCTATCTTTATCACGTTGATTTACTGAATTCACACCGCAACAAGTGGAGCACGGAAGAGGAATATCATTGAGAACATAAAACAAAGATGAGGAGCAAGACCTTAGGAACCTTAGGAAGTACTGGCACAAGCTTTCTGAGAACCTCGTCGACATGATCTGATTCGCTCTGCGAAAAAGAGAGAAAATGAGAAAACGATTGGAATCACGAGGAGGAAACAAAAGAAAACAAGTCAGAGAATGTATACCTTGGAGACTTTGGAATCATTTGTTCTACCAAAGCTATCGAATTGCCTAAACCCATCATTCTGAATCCAGGAAGAGAGCATCCAGAACAGTGATTAAGAGAAAGATGGAGAGATAGTGAGAGAGATTGGAATACTTACAGAAGCAGAAGAGGGCTGAAGAGTGACGAATCCTGGGAGGAGGAAAAAGGGGGAAAGATGAGAAGAAGAAAAAAGTGGAAGAAGAAGGTAGATCTGATCTGAGAGAGACGACAGAGACATCGAGATTAGAGATATACCAGAAGAGTGGAAGCCATTGTGGAGGCCGAGAAGAAAAGCAAGCGGAACGAGCATGGAGAGGATCACAAGAACCAAGACTCCGATCACCAGGCCTTTCCACCGCCTCTTCCCACCGCCGCCGCCGCCGCCTTTCATCTTCCACTGATAAGATTCAAAAACGGATCTCGCAGATTAGCAAGGCATTGGATCTCTCCGACAAACTTCTCTCTTGGATTCACCTTACTCAGTGACTAGCGCGCACACACTCTCTCTCTCTCGCCGGTTATTTTCTCTCCCCTAACCTCTGTTTCTAAGAAGAACGCAGACTGTCGCTGCAAATTGCCCCGATCGCATCGTCCCCTGCTTTTGCTACTTGGGGGAAGAAGAGGAGAGAGAGAGATAGACACGCTCAACTTTCTTCGCACGTGCCAAATCATCTCTACCGTCGATTCCACCCGGCCTCCCCCAGATCTGTCGCTAGATCATGACACGTGTCTCGTTACTCGGTATTCCTTGATTTCTACTCTCTCTTTTTTAAATCTATATGGTACGGAAAATCTTATTAAAGTTTCCGTATTGAAATGGGCAGTAGTTTCACTATCTGAATTTATTTGAAAATAACGTATTTTTTCCTATTGTGACCATACTAATTTAGTTAATAACTCAGTGTTCAAATCTATCATAATTAAACAAATATGTCACCATAATAGAATCGGATCGTGTATAAAAATTATAAAAAAAAATCAAATCCAACCAAATCAAATGGAATAAAATACAAATGATGAATATTTAATTAAAAAAATCCAAGCCAAACTAAACTGAATATAAAAACAAAAGGATTATAATATTTTTGAAAACTAAATAATCAAATCCGAGATCACCGGGCAGGCAAGGGGCATGACCCGTGAACAGAAGTCATAAACAGACAAATCGTATCTAGTGTACAGACTACACTGTCAATTCATAGTAGAAGCAACATCTGCTCAAAGACTAAAGAGACGACCAATCACACACACTACACACAAATTCATTTCAAGAAAACACGATTCACAGCTTAGTAAGAGAAAAAAAGGGGGTGAAAATTTCAATTGGACCAGACATGAATGAGGCCGTGTCTGTTTCCAGTGTAAATCTCGTTACGTTCTTCGTCGTAGAAAAGTGCAGTTATGTCTTCCAAAGCCTCTGCAACTGCGCCTCTTCTCTGCTTCGAGCTCCCTAAACTGCTGCTGCACTCTTCTTCTTCCTTGGGACACCCACTACTCGCCGTTATTTTTGCCAAGCATTTCCCAGTCAAGATATTGCTTATGTTAATCGACCCGGCTGCCAAAAACAAAAAACCCGTAAAGGAATCGATTAATGACAATGTGCTCCTTCACATGTAACCGGTAAAATGATTATGTACTTTGATTCATGTCCAGTATCAGTTCATTGGGTGGTTAAGAGACTTACCGTTTCCTTCTATCCACTGATCTTCCGTATCTGCCTTGCAATACGAAATGATGAGATCCTGATCACTCGTTATGTAGATATTGTTCGTGTTACAGTCTGGATGCCATAGGAGATGATCCTCAAATGACGTAACGAGTTCCCCGCGAAAATTCCACACAGAAACAGTTCGGTTCCTGAATGTTAGGAACAACTGATTCTCATACAAAAAGATGAATGCTGATGGCGTCATGAATTCCGTCCTGCTGACCTCCATCAGCTCAGCATTTCGAACCTGTGCTTAGAAATAAAACAAAATTATACAAAACACATATGCCAACAACAAAAATATATACGGCACATATAAAACACGACGAAAACTATGGACTCACGTCAAGAATTTGGAGATTCTCATTCTCTTGCTTAACAAGAAGTTTTTCATTGAACTGTTCAATGAAATCAACCTTCTTGTTTCGGTGAAGCAAATGATTGAAGGACTTGAGAACTGTGCCATCTTCTATCGAGAGAATCTTCAGGGGAACATGACTAGTAGCTCTCTTGAAAATTAATAACATTATTCCAGGACTGGTTCAGGTAGCAGCCAGGAGTCAGAGAGCCATATATAACTCATTCACAAGTCTTTTAGAAGTAACTAAGTAGATGGGTACAAGCTCAACATTTGCAGAGAACAAGTAGCATAAAAGAGGGATGGACAGAGAGAGAAGAAAAATCACCTGATTTTTATTTCTTGGACATGTTTATCTGATACAGAATACAGCATTGTATAGTTTTTCAGGTCGAAAACCTTGTATACACTGCAAAGACAGTTGTGGCTCAGTTGAAGAACTTGAGAGTGGGGAGAAGAGTAGTGAAACCGAAAAGTACCTGTCTTGTGCAGAATATGTCAGCACCTTCCCATTCACATCGTCAAACTCTACGAAACCAGGCCACTTTAATGATTCAGACTCAAACAGAGCAAACCCTGCATCCGGCTGACCCCTCAAAATATACCTAACAGTTGAAATAGGAAAGCAAAAAGGAGCGATAAGTTTGGAGCTAACGAAAGAAAAACCAGAGAAAGCCAAATAAGAGGTAGTAGAGTTGACAGACTCAATCCTAGTGGATCTGCATTTCAAAGAGCTGAAATTATCTGAGGCATAAACTGAAACTGTGATGAGAGAATCATTGTTCTTGTTGTAGAACAAGCTGCGGATAACTTCATCTGGGCTAACATTCAAGAAACATATCCTTTTGTTTGTCTCTGAAATTAGCAAAAAGACAGGCCATGGATAAGTTTCCGAATCAAAAGTTAGAGAACTGTAAAAGGGAAATCGGATAGGATGAGACCGAGTACCTCTGCTGAAGGCAGCGCAAACACCGGAATGGGCAAGAGCAAATACAATGTCACGAGCCGCCACTATCTCGATGACCTTGGTTCTTTTCATCAAAAAGGGTAGTGCCACTAGACAATGCCCTTTTGGATCATGAGTGTCATATTGCTCCTGATGCAAAACATTTCAACAACGGAGAGAAAATTTAAGCCGCGCCCAATTGCTGCTGTTTTCTAGGGAGATTTTCTAGGTCAAGGAGTGGAAATGATACTGAGTGAAGGGCTTAATTGCTAGGTTAGGAGGAATTAGGGCAAAGAGGAGGAGAGGGCGTACCACGAGGCGCATGTTGCGGAACCTCTCCTGGGCGGTGCTCATGGAGAAAGCTCGGTCCTTACTGGAGGAGATTTCACGGCGTTGGAGCTTTTTGACGCTGTTGACGAAGCCGTCAGGTCGAGACCTCTTCTTGGCGACAACCCTCCTTCCGCTGCAGGGTCTAGGGCTTGCTGTAATCCTTCTTCCTTCCATCTGCTTCCTCCACGAGTTTCCCCAGATCAGAGCAAAAGACTCGATCTTCGACAAAGAAACCCTAACGAGGAAGGAGAAGGAAGACGAAGATGAGAAGAACACTGGACCAAACCCTAAGAGTCACAGAGAGGCCAAGAAGTGAGAGCAACAGAACTGCTGCTACTGCTGCGGAACTTGCAGACAGATTCGGATTGAAGGTTGATCCAAAAATTTCTCAGGCTCTCCTTCGAATCCCCCCACCTCCGATCCCGAACCAATCCATTTTTGAAAAAGAAAAACAAAAATTGAAAATCGAAGAGAATTTGGATGAGATGGGCCGGGCTAAGTTAAATGGGCCGTGGCCCAATGGAGTTAAAGAAGTGGGCCCAGTCGGTGGTTTGCCACACGAAATTGGCAAAAGCGATTGATGGATGATGGATGGGCGCCATTATTGCCATGTGATTGATGATTTGTAACCCCCAACCTCACGCCATTATTTTATCCCGGCGACTTTTTAATAAATGCTCACTCCTCAAGCCTTGAACCGACCGTCTTTTTAACTATTATAAAAATAACCTAGATTTCCATTATTACTATTATTATTATTATTATTATATATTTACATATTCATATCTGTAGGAGTTTATATTAGAAATTACAGCTATTTGATCGTGATAAAAAAGCAAGGTCTAATAATAAAAAATCGGTGGCGGAGCATGTGAGACAAGAATTTATTTTCTTTAAATCTCTTGTTGGGGTTTCAGATTATTACCTCTCCTCGAGAGAAAAAAGACAACGTGGGAAGCTTAATAATAGGGAAGAACCGCCCCGACAAGCTCGGGAGTGTGTAACCAGAAAGCGAAAACCCATAATGGAAGGAGGCGCCTCGAAGACAACCGCCGCCGCCGCTGGGAAAAAGAAGCGCCACCGCTGCCGGAACATCTGCCTCTGTCTCACGGCGGCGGGCGCCTTGATCATCGTGGGGTCTGTGATATTGGGGGTGACCGTGTTCAAGCCCAAACGG